CCCCAAAACCCCAAAACCCCAAAACCCCAAAACCCCAAAACCCCGAATTGTAGAAGATTTATTGAAATAATAATGGAAGAATTTTGGAAAAAGAATAAAGTTCCGTTACTTGTTGGGACAGGTATTGCTGCTATGCTAGGACTCGGAATGTACTTTTATAAAAGCAAACCACCTTCAAATCAGACTTTATGAAACTATGTTCCTCCTTTAATGCTAGATAAATAATGATAAGCAATCAGATTGCTTAACTCAGAGAGAAGCTGAAATTAGAAGTCAAAGAGTATCTAATGTATCTTATAAATTGGGACTTGCTTTTAGAAAAGAGGAGACCTTCTATGGCCAAATTACGATTAAATTCACTATGAACAACTCTCAAAACTCCCAAGAGCCTCTCTTCCTTGATTACAAAGGAATTAGTATAAAAGATTTGCTCATAAATTATGAACCAATAGATCCTTATGAAGTTTATCAAGGAGACAGAATTATCTTTCCAAAAGACTCTCTGAATTTAGGCGAAGAAAATGTAGTCTCTCTTCTGTTTCATTCTAAATATGTAAATGATGGAGAAGGAGCTCATAAATTCATTGATAAGGATGACTCAAGTATATATGTCTTTACACAATTTGAGACTTTCTACTGTCATAAAGTATTTCCTTGATTTGACCAGCCAGACATAAGAGCATCAATGGCTCTTACTACAGTTTCTCCTAAAGATTGGATAATTATCTCGAATGGTAAAGAGAATGGATTTATAAAGCCTCAAGATCCAGAATTTGATGAATACAAAAGCCTGGTTAACCAGGATCTCTTAGATTCATTTTCTGAGGAGTTCTACATTCAGACATACAATGAGACGCCTCGTATCACTCCTTACATCTTTTCTTTCTTCTGTGGTCCTTTTGAGTGCATCCAGGAGGATGCAGAGATTCCAGGAAGGGAAGACCCAATGACTTTTAGACTATTCATGAGGAGATCCCTCAAGAAAGATGCTTTAAGAGTTAAAGATATGTTCCTCACTACCGCAATAAGGGGTATTCACTGGTATAGTGACTTCTTTGGATACAACTATCCGTATGAAAAATATGACCAAATCATCTGACCAGAATTTGAGCATTATGCTATGGAAAACCTTACCGCAGTGGCCTTTGCAGAGTTGTATCTTAACAGAGGGAAAGAGATCACTGAATATGACCAAATCAGAACTATCTACGTTGTCTTGCATGAACTCTGCCATCATTGGTTTGGGAACTTAGTGACAATGACATGGTGGAATGACTTATGGCTGAATGAGTCATTTGCAACATTTGTAGCATATCTTTGATATGCAGGAGACCCAGTACTCGGTGAAATTTTTAAGAATAATCCAAATTTATGGATCAGAGTAAATCTAGAAAAAGAGGTAGGATATGTGGAAGATAATTTCTCGACCAATCATCCTATTCTTAATGAAGTTTCAAGTACAGATACTGCTTTTGATATGTTCAATGGCATTTCTTATGGAAAAGGATGAGGATTTTTACAGCAATTACTTCACCTTGTTGGATATGAAACCTTTAGTGAAGCCACTAAGATCTATTTCAAAAAATTTGAATGGAAAAATACCAAGCTTGATGATTTCCTTGACTGATTGGATGAAGCGAATGATAAAAACCCAGGCAAAATATACACAGACAAAATATCCTCCTGGTGTAAAACATTTCTCACCACAAAAGGAGTAAATATCATCCAAGGAGAACTTAAAGATAACAAATTCACCTTAACTCAAACTCCAAGCCCTCACTCAGATGGTCTCCGCCATCAATCCCTAGACATTTACTTCTTCAGAGCCAACTTAGTCTCCGAAACTCGCCCAATCCTCACCTCTTCCACCTGCCCCACTACATCCCTCTCTCACTGCTACCCAAGTACTCTTCCTTTAATCCCTTCTAGACACTACCTTCTTCCTGCTCAATCATGGTGACCATGCCTACATTCAATCTTACCTTGACCCCTCGACTCTAAAATTCCTGTGCACCAATCTCTCCAATCTGCATGGCTCCTTGACCAGGGCCATTGCTTGGAGGTCCCTCCAAGCAATGGTAGTCAATGGCCATACTGGCCCATTGGTCTTCATCGAGTGCTTCAAGAATAATTTTATGAAAGAGGAAGAGGCTATTCTTGGTATTAAGTCCTGGTCTGAATGCTATAGCTGAGATCGTACTCAAAATTATGAATGAGGTTATTGAATGGTTTGTCCCAGAGGAGAGGTTCGAAGAAGTGACTTTTGAGATATTTGAGATTTTATATCAAGGGATTGAGAAAGATGAAGGTATGTGGAGTGAAGTTGAAGTTTTAGGATATGAGAGATTACAGAAGATGAAGATTCTATATCAAAATTATTTATTTATGTTCTTGCAAGATAGAGATCATATTTTGAAGTCTATCGAATGGTTAGAGGATGGATATATTCATGATACAAATGGAAAAAGAATAGATACAGCAAAATTAGGACCTGATCATCAGCATTTGATTCTGAAAGCTGTTCATAAAAGCCCTTACTTCAATTCTAAGTACAAAAACGATCTCCTAGTCCAAATAATTGGATCTGAAAAAACAGATATTGCTATCAATCTAAAACTTTCATGTGAGGCTTTAATGCCTTTTCCTGAAACAAAAGCTTCGATCTGGGATCTTATCACCACGCCTTCTTCGTCTCTTTCTTCTTATGAAAGGGGTGCCTATATGGAATATTTCTTCAACAGAGAAGCTTCCGAAATCCTTCAGGAATATTTCCCAAAATATCTTTCTCATATAGATAAATTGGCAGATTGCAGCAACAAGGCATATGTCATACAATTCATCTCTCTAGTCTGTCCTAAGTTCGGAATATCTACAGACTTTCTCCAGACCCTCGAGGAAAACCTGGAAAAACATATCCACGACCCTCTAAAAAAATCTTACTGCAGAGCAGTAAGAAAAGTCCTCGAGACCTTCCAAAAATCACAGAGAGCCAGAGAGCTTTAATCCAGGTTTCCTCTGCTACTAATCTTCACTCAAAAAATTTAACCACTTAAACGCACTTCCCAAAGAGCAATTTCTCTCACAGCAAAAATTTTCCGTATTCTTTAAAATTCCAAAAATTTTCAAAAAATTCAAATTTTTTCTTCTTGAGCCTCCACTTCTGCCCAAGGCCTCTTTCTAAGAAAGCATAAGCCAGGGTGCCCAGGCTTGGCTGTTTTGGGGATTTTAGAAGAAGGATGGGAAGAAGGGGGTCGAGATTGGGTTTTAGTAGCTTGCCAGCCGAGATTTCAGGAAAAATTAGTCCAGAAGGAATTTTAGAAGTGAAGCTTTAAGCTCATGACTGGGGTTTCACTAGGGAATGAGTCATTCAGGGCCCAAGGTTGGCAGCTGTGTTAGGGTAATAGAAAGGATCACCCTGATATCAATACTTCCAAGAGTAGATATCTCTTGGGAATAAAATCAATACTAGCCTAAAAAAGGGGTTTTGGGGTTTTGGGGTTTTGGGG